AGACCCATTTTCAGCAGCAGGGGATTCTATCGCATACTGTGCACTTGTGGGAAGGTATATATCGGAACCATCAAACAATCCATGGGAACAAGACTGAAAGATCATAAAAGGAACTGCAGACTAGATCAGCTGTGGCAGAACACGCACTTATTGAAGGAGATCACACAAGCTTGTTTGAAAATACAGAACTAATTACCCCCAACCTGGGATACTATAACCGACTGGTACGGGAGGCAAAAGAGATTCACAAACACACTGAAAATTTCAACAGAAAAGAAGAAGCGACCTCAACCGAATATGGAATCCCATTTTAAAGAATTCGAGAATAACGAACAGAATGACAACAAGCAGCAAGATTGTTAATGTTCCAGGATTAAGTACAGGTACAAGGCATAAATATGAAGCCTAAAAGTTAGTCATCGGACAGCAAGCCATGATGGTTAAACCTTTGAAGAAGCTAGCCACTCGCGCCAGCGAAATGTCAGGAAGAAATTTCAAAAATCCAAGGCTTTCAAACTCGAAAAATAATGACACTTCGATAAGTTTGTTGGGGGTCAAAATGGACACCACCAATATGTCTTGGCACAATCATGTCGCTGAAATTGCAAAGGCTGCTTCTCAAAAGCTTTAAACACTGTTCCGAACCAGAAAACTGTACACAAATCAGCAACTTCTGATTCTTTATAAGACCTTCTTCGGAATATTGTTTTAATGTATGGAGCTTTGCCCCTAAACATAACCTGAATCTGCTGGATTCCATCCAGAAAAGAGCAATCCGCCAGGCTGAAGACGCGAACATCACTTGCAATCTTGATCGTCTGGAACATCGAAGAAAGGTTGGATATTTGTCTCTCTTTCATAGATACTTTCACGGGAGGGGTTCAAGTGACTTGGCACATTTGATTCCACCAAGAGCGGTACATATCAGAAATACGCGACGGACTGTGGCTGCTCATCGTTTTGAGGTTCAACTCAGTATACCTCGAACTTAACTGTTTAAGAACTCTTTCATTCGAAGAACTGCGTTTATGTGGATTGGATCAATCTCCAGCTATTTAAATCCAATGTGAATTCCCAAAAATGAACCTTTCCTAAAAATATACCCCTTTCAATTTAAACTTTAACAGCATTTTGATTTCCAATGAATCCAATCAAGAGGATGAATGTACAATTCTCAGATATCAAACTTCTTTCGCTTTTCCTTCCATAGGAGGATTCCATTTGGAAAGTCATTGCCACGCTTCCTGAAAATGCGATATGTTTACCACATTCAAGCACAATTTCCTGCACTTGCTAGAAATACATCGAGGGCCAATTAGTGGTGGAGATAACGTGTATATGTCCAATTTTTACCATCAGAAGGGGATTGACGAAGGGCACCCTTTCCTTCCAGCCCGTGGAAAACTATTGATCGCAGACAGTTCTGGTCATTTGATGACGTCACATCGTCCGAAATCGACCGATTTTCCCGTTCACCACCTACAGCTCTTGCGGATCGAAATTTGAGTTCGGATTTTCCTTTGTGGAGAAACAGTGCGTTTTGATACAAGTCCCTTGGGAATATGTGTGCTGAGGTCTGATTTGAAAGAATGGGGGTAGACTTGTTGCCTGGAAACGGTGTGTTGAAAGGTATGACTGTAATTTCATTTATAACAAGTATTGTTGTGGTACAACGAATAGATATGTAACATAACCATGTACAGGATGATCAAACCTACATCTTTCTCTTGAAGATGATCACTTGGTGATCGAAACACTTGCCGAGGCGTTAAAATAATGGTTTGATGTTGGGAAAAAACTCCAGTAATATTCATTATTACACCAAAGGTTCCATACAGTGCATTACAAGTAAAGGATGATCATTAAATATGAAGAAAGTAGTCTTGCCCTAATTTTGAACAAAAACGTTAGAGTTGGCATCAGAAAATTTGATAGTGTACTTGTAGAGTATTGCAGAAACCAGATCTATAGCTTTGGTTGTTGACCATTTTTTCATAAATTTGAAATTCGCATCGATTTAAACTGATAATTTCAATAAATATTGAAATTGCACATTTTCATTGCAACTTCTTTTATCTTCAAGATAGTTCTTTGATTCGTCATCAGGCCAACATTTTCAACTTTACTTTTCCTTACTAGCGCCATATTGGATGTTTTTGCGGTTTTGAAATTACCTTTTTTCTTCTCCAGTTGAGCAGCAAAAGTTACCCGTGTATTCACAGAATTTCTGAAGATTACTGAAATAGTTCACTTGCAGTAGTAGACATTAATTTTCCAAAATTATGAATGGACTGACCCGCTACTTGATAAAAATTAATAACATAATCCATGATAATTTTCAAAAACATTTTCATTTCTAGACGCAATTCGGTAACACCGTAGTTTCCTCTTTAGAAATCCATTCTATTAACTTTGAGAAAACCTATTACGTACTATTCAGTAGTTTTGACAACTCTCTACTAGAATATGACATCAAAATCTTCAATACGAAAGTCATCAAACCTACAAAGGAAATAAAATATCTTGGAATAATTTTGGACAGCAATCTCAGATGGAACCAACACATACCTAGACCACATAGTTGAAAAATTACGTTGCATACTTTACAAATTCAAACGAATAGCAAACATACTCAATCATAAACGGAAAATTATTTTATACAGGGTGTAACTGAATAAGTGTTAAACATTTAAGGAGGTGATTCCTCATCGAAAAAAAGATAGGATCTTCCATATAAAGAAACTTCATTGATATATGCGTATAAATGTATATATGTCTGTATATGTATATATGTGTTACACAATTATTCTATACTATAGACGAACGACTATAATACCTGCAAATTTACTGTTTTATTATATACACTTTAACTGAATGTTATCATGTTCTGTTAATTTCAAATAAATGACTACTCCTATACAGTACTTGTATTGTCCTTCTGGAGAATAAAGAATTATTATTATTATTATTTTAACTAACGTCTTATTAGATCGCTCCTTACCGCACTGTCCACTAAACTTGATGTCCTGGAATCCAAATGGAATGACCAGACAAGTGTGTTGTTGTCGGCAAAGCAATAAATTGGATTAACGTTTTTCCAATAAGTTGTTGATATACAATAAAAAGATGGTTGGAGACAATATGGATCCCTGGGGAACACCCAGCGTTGATGGTGAAAATATTCGAGAGATATCCATCGACGGCCACTTGCAGGGAATTTTATTTCAGGAAGCTGAAGAGTCATACACAAAAATGATCCGACAAGCTATAGCATCGAAGTTTAGCCATCAAATCCTCATGCTACACACGATCAAAAGTCTTATGAATATCAAGCGCAACAGCTCTTGATTCTCCTTGTTTCTCGATTGTGTTATTACAAATATGGGTGACATACGATTGAATATCGCCTGTTGATCACCAAGAAGGAAAAACCCATTTCTCATAAGACAGAATGAAAAATCTGCAAAATAACGATAACGAGCACTTGATCAGTGCCATCAGACGCCTTGCTGATATTAAGCTGTTTCAAAATTCACCTGACTAGACGCTGTAAAAAAATAATTTTTGACATTGTGGATTCTAGTATGGAAATAGTGGGTGAAACCTTTTCCAGAAAATCGACTTTGGAGTGGAACGCAAATTTTTCAGCTAGAAAATTTGCTTTTTCTATGGCTGTTGTTGCAATTGAACCATCCGCCTGTGTCACGGGTGGAATCGTGGATTTTGTAAAGTTCTGATTAACAGCTTTAGCTACCGACCAGAAGGATCTAGATCCGTTGGGATTGGCAAGCAGTTTATCCCTAATTCTCTGATTGTGAAGTTCTTTGCTTTCATTTATCCTAAGTTTGCAGCTGTTGCGAGCCTTAACAAACCAAGTTCGGTTTTCGGTACTGGGATTTTTGCGCCACTGCCGTTAGATTTTTGAAGGCAACATCTTGCACGCAATTTTTGTTGAACCAAGGTTTGCCGTTAGCAGGTCGTTTCATTAAAATAGGAATATATGCATCCATGGATGATAGAATAACTTCCATGACTTTAGAAGCAAAAGTTGATGGATCTTTAGAGCTGAAACAGACATCTAGCCAGGGGAAAATTTGGAAATGGTCTTGAAGATCCTCCCATTCAGCTGATCTGTAATGCCAAACTTTGCGCGGCTTAGATTGTTCCCCAACATTCATCGGTAATTCACTCAACACTGAAATGAGTTTGTGGTCAGAAGATCTCATTAGAGACCTTACGGTGACTGCAAATTTCTGGATTGGTTGTTAGGTATACATCCAGAATACTAGCATATTCTCCATCACCTCAATTACAATGATAATTACGCCTCTACCTACATACACACATTGATGCGTACCTATATATAAACATTGTGAAATTATGAAACAACGATAAAAATAAAACCAATTGGCGCTCCGGGGCGACTTCATTGATTCCAGTGGCGCATTTGCTTTTTCAGCTGCAGGAAAACCCGGAAAAACCTGCAGCACCACATCATCTGAAGATCTTGATCTAACAATGTCCTCTCTCTCATAAAACAAAATGTAGGATGTCTCCAGGGGCTCCAATAGATTCAATACATCGCCAGTACACTTCGTGACACGACTATAGTCAAACTTAAACCAGTCCGTTTCGTCTTTGACCAAGGCGTAATAATGACCAACTTCAACGCCAGAACCACAGTAAAAAAATGGGACAATTTCATGAATATTATGATGATTCACAACACCATTCATACTCAGCTTTCTTTAGTGGTTAACGCTCAAGAAAACAATCTTTTCCGTTTTCAAAACCTGAAAATCACTTAAAAACTTTCGTCTTAAATTGTGAATAGCTTTAATTCTTTTGACTAACGTAACAATACGTATCAATCCTTTCGAAGTACGTGATACACACAATGAATTAGAGAAAATTCAACTTTTCTCTAACTAAACCATATACATAGAAACTTCCATTGTGTTCTACGGATGCAAATCATAATAATTTACTTTTTGTTACAGATTGATAGTACCATGGACTTGAAGACCTGAACTGCAAATAAAAATAATGTGATATATAATCCGTCCACGAATACGATTTGCTCACACCTGCTCAAAATGACTTTGGAAATATGCAACGAAATGGATGAACTGGAAAATAATTGCGATGAGGAATTATTCACGTTCGCTTTCCCCGCCATGGAGTCCGACGTTGAAACAGAAATAGCAACTAAGAATTTGCAAAACATCAATAAGGAATTAACATTCGGAAGCAACCAATTAGACAATAATGCCTTGACTATTCTTGAAAACATTCATGCTCAAAGCAGGTTGGAGTATGTACCCACCGAAGTACAAAACTGTATTGAAGTGGAGTCAACAAATGTTATTAGTATTCCGGAACACCAAATAGTAGAAATCCAGTTCCAAAATGGGGTTATCAATACCGAGTTCATCGTTGATAATGATATACTCCAAACACAATTAGAAAACGATCATGTGAAATCAAGCTTCATAAATCTCAAAGAAGGAATTTACGAGGAAATAATCCCCTATCAAATGTACGAGGAATCCACGGACAATTTTGAAATATTCCAAAATCTGGAAGAAAACACCTCGGAAAGTAATAAAAACCATACCATTCAGGATACTATAAACGTATCCATTCCTAGCCCTCAAAGTGAAAATGATGAACAGACAGAAACAGACCTAACTAGTTTGAACTGGTTGCATAATATAACTAACATAATGTCGGTTCCAAACTTACCGACTCCCCCAGTATCCCCATCCCCAAAGCCAAAAAGAAAATCCAGTAGTACTCAGGAAGATTTGACGATAAATATCAACTATTACAAAAAGAATGGGGAGAAGAAACCCCCATTCTCATATGCTACTTTGATATGTATGGCGATGGGAAAAAATGGAAATAAAATGACGTTGTCGGCAATTTATCATTGGATCAGAGAAAACTTTTTGTACTACAGGAAAGCTCATCCTAGTTGGCAGGTGAGTGAAGAGCTTGTTACATGAAGATGACGCATAAGTAACTTTGATTTTCTAACTAATTCTTACTAACAACTAATGCTTGAAACATATCTTATCCTTTTCGAAATATACATTATTTGTATTCAGTGTGTCCAAGCCTTACATTTCAGTCGATTGGTGAAGTTATTCGTGGATATTTTATACACACGAATGCTCTCTGCAGTTGACCAGGTATTCGAAACTATACATAACCAGTAAGGGTCAAAGTGAGGAGTCACTGGATGTGAGAAGAATCTGCTCATCGATAGATGTACATGGCAGAACCCAATTTGCCCTAAATCAATAACCGCAAGGCATTTGATTCAATACTGCATGAGCCCATCTTCATTTGGTCAGATGCCTTGCGGACTCGCCTTGGAGGTTAGGTTAGGTCCAAAGTGAGTGGGTCTATTCGACCCTCCAGCGCAACCCGCAACGGTTTATTGTGGCTCATACCTATTTACATTCGACCAAATAAACCCAGCTTCTTTACGAAGCAGATTAGTTTGTATGGTGAGTGGTCTTTAAGGTTAGATGGTAAGAGTACGGCTCTGCCGAACTCTAAAAACCTGATTTGGTCCCCAGCGGGGTAGGCACAAAGTATGTGCTCTGTCGTTTCATAATTTTACAAATAGGGGCGACACAAACAGTTTTCCGACATTCCGAGTCTCTTCATATGATGATTCAATTGACTGTAAGAAGGCCAACAACCGTTTGATATCAAGCTTCGAAGGGAGAACAAATGCCATGTAGTGAGCCAATCCTGGAAGATTCTGCCAGAAGTCCATAAGTCTTCTTGCCATCCAGGTGTTCAATCTTTGTTTGGCAAAGCCTAAAGCGATGCCAATGACAGGTTCTGGTCCGATGAAGCTGTTTGTAGCAGCCTCATTGCCTTCCTGGCCAGTATGGCCAAGAATCCAGACCAGATACAATCTGTTAAGTTTTCCTATCGAGGAGAGTCGTGTTTGGCAATTTGCTACCAATTTAGACGACGTTGCTCGGTGGGAGCCAAGAGCTTCCAACGCCGCTTGACTGTCCGAGAATATTTTTATTGACTCGTGAGTGAGGTTGTATTTTTCCAATCTCTCCGCACACAATTCAATAGCGTACAATTCAATTTCCGCTTGAAATACAGTCGCATAGGTTCCTAGGCAGGTTCATATATCTGTCCTGGGTCTGCGACTGGAAACACCTGCACCAGAACCGTAAGGTGTTTTTGACCCATCTGTGAAGCAACAACTGTCTGCTCTTAATATTTGCTTCTCCCGGAGGATCCAGTTCTCTTTACTCGAGAACAGTACTTTATAAGGCAGTTCGTAGTTGAGAGTTGGAGGCATAAAGTCAGAGGTAATTTCCATAATGCTGTGACTTCCTGTGTCAACCAACAGTCTGTTGCACTCTGCATTAAATTGATTTGTGCAATTAACAATGTGCACAAGTCTATATGCAGTCCATCTAGCATTTCTCTCCAGAAAAATGTGGAGAGAAGATAGATCTAGAAGGATCTCAATGGCCGCTGACGGAGTGGTACTGATAATGATGATGGATTTGTTTTACCACAAATCCGTTGACATGTCCATAGGGACAGTCTGGCTTTGTGTAAAACTTTTTCCAAGTGAGCGTTCCAGGTGAGTTTTTTATAAGGAGAATGCCAAGATATTCCACCTTCGTTCCAAATGAAATGACCTCACCATTGACGGAAAGTGGTGTTAGATCGTCCAATTTTCTCCTCCTGGTGAAGGGGGTTATCACAGTTTTGCTGGAGTTGATAGACATGCTTCCCGACGTGGACCTTCCCAAGATGATAATGTCATCTGCATAAGCTTGCAGATTTACTTTTCTTCTGTCGAGGGCATCAAGCAGACTATCCATCAGGAACGACCACAGAAGGAGAGATAGTACCCCACCTTGAAGGCAGCCCCTGGTGACCCTGAACCTAATGGAGTCGCGTCGAAGAGTCGTATTTGCAGTTCTGTTTACCAGCATGGCATAGATCCAGCCCGTCTTGGAGAAATCGCTGCAGATAAGAGTCCAATCAGAGCAGGTCACTTTCAGAATTTCAGGGCGATTGTCTATGCTTTTTTGTTCATCTTAGTATTGCCATTATCCGTTGATCTGAACATAAATGAGTCACCTCTAGAATACGGAGTCGTAAGGTGTCCCAATTGTTCCATGTAGATGACTTCGAAAGTTATGTTTCTGTAGAATAGGAATTCCAGGTCTTCAAGGGTGGTGGAAGAGTACAGACATGCTAGGGGAATAAAATTTGGAATAGACATTCGTGCAATAGTCCACCTCAGAAGAAAAAAAAATCGGAAATTACAGAGATGATATGCAGCTCGTAGATTCTGCACCATTCTGAGTTATTTTGATGTCAGAGAAGACATTTAAAACTCCATCAGTCCAGATTAGAACGTTCATTGGTTATTAGAATTTCTGGTTATACCGTTGATCCAACAAAGGTCATCTTTATCAGTCTTAGGGGGCTTTTGGGGTTGGTTCCATCCAGACTCAGACTACAACGCTACTACCCTGAGGAATGAACTCAAAACTATTGAGGATGAAGCAGTATGCACTTGACGAAACTGCTCGAAAAATGATGCATCCCAAATCATCGGGTCCATGGCTTTCTTTCTTCTAACAACAGAGAGGCCGAGAGCTCTCAATTTGACAGTTTATAAATCGTTATTGACTAACAAATCATTGTCCGTCAAGTCATTGTTCACACCTCAAATGAAGTTTCCGTTTGTCTCTGATGCAGTAGCTCTTTCTTTCTTCTTTATTCACTCTCCAGAGGCTAAAATAGAATGGTCACCAATTATTGAATATATTTGTTCATTTAATAGATAGTCTCCCAAAGTGATGAACCTAAATTTTTCTGGGCGATTTAATGAATAAGGATCATGAAGTTGTTGATTCTGACCCCATTCATTAAAATAAAGGTCTGAGAAACACTGGAGGTATAAGTGTACAGCTTTCCAAGATAATGATCTATATCAAAAAAAATTACAGTTGAGATAAATGATAGAGTAAGAAGAGAATGCAAGTGTTCATATATATTAATGGTTACATTTATTTCTTC